AGCCTTGCTGGCTGGGGAATTCTGGGAGTTGAAGTCCACACAGCTTAAAGTTGCTGAGGTTGAGAAACAGGGCTCTAATCCATTTTCCCAATCTATTCCTACGCGTAGAGGGCAAGGGGGGGGCTTCCTCCTGCTTCCCCCCCATCTAACACTGACCTCTCGTGGCTTTGTCCAAAGCAGCTGTCCAAAGCCAAGCCATTCCTTGATTCCCGCTGCAAACGTTTGGCCTCCTCCTGTGTTTCGCATCCTGGCTTGCTGATGGGAAGGCAACATGGCTGGGGAAATAAGACAGGTCACCCTCCTCTGAAAATCAAGGGCTGCCTTCTAGATTCTACCTAGTACAACGCGGGTGTCGTTAGCAAGGAAACCCGGCCGACATGTTTGAGCTTCTCGGATGCATTTCTCAGCCCAGCGAATTGTTTGCTGAGAAAAATGACGAGGGACCAAAGAGAGAGTTGGCCAGAAATTCATGAACTGCACTGGGAAAAAAATCACATTTGGAGGACCCCCCGAGTTATCACAAGCCAGGATGAGGCATGGTTAGATTCCAGGGATGGGGAACAAGCAGGGCCCCCACAGAAAGCTTCTGGGCTGGTCTGTGCTCGGGGTCCCAGCCAAGGTCAGACCTTTCCTCCCGTCCACCTGGGAGTGAATCCTGGCACCACCTCCGAGAACTGCTGCTTGGGTGAAACTGCCTGCAGCATCGGGGTGCCTGCGGGCATCGGGGTGCCAAACGTCACTCAACCAGATTCCCTCGCCCCTTTCCATTTTCTCTGCAGTGTTCTGGCACCCTTGGTGTACAATCACGAAACCAAGCATTAAAAAATAAAAACCTCCAAGGAGGATTAAGATTCATATGTGAAAATGAACCCTTTTCAGTGCTGCCTGAGAGTGCGGTTTGGGAAGGGCAAGAGGGAGCCCATGGGAGTCCTAAGCTGCTACAATTCACCGGCTCCTCGCAGGACGAAAGCTCTTTCCGTTTAAATGACCCTAAACTTGCCGCCCAGGCGTGCCCGTATCTGGGAGAGGGGGAACAAAGGCAGCGAGAGGCGGGTCCCCCCCATTTTGGTTCAAGGATGATCTGGGCTATATTCTGGGAGAGGAGGACTAAGGCTGGGGCTGTGGGCAGAACAGTCCTGCTAAATGCCCGGGCAGACTTAAGAGGGAAGTCACAGCCATCACAAGGGTCTCCAACTGCAGTCGGTTGGATGTCCGTGGCTTCCTTCCCAGCGGCTCCGGAAAGACATCTGCTCGCTCAAGAATCAGGTCACTGCATGTCCTCCAAAGATGCTCGAAGGCCTCATGAGATGCCAGTTCCTGGGAAAGAGAAACTTGCTCTCCTCCATCGCATGCCTCCAGATGCAGGTCCAGGGTGGATTCAGCCCCCTCCCTTTCCCCTGGCCAGCTTCCACAAAGAGGGATTACTGACGTGGGGGGGGGGGTCACCCTTTTCCTTCCGTGTTTGGCCGCTTCCGTTGGGCTTTGGGGA